CTTCCCCCCACTGTCCGCCGGCGTGCAGCATTCGATTAGCAATGGGTGCGATCCTAATTTCAAGCGTTTTAAACGGAAGCATGTATTTCCTTGCCCGAAGGATGCGTAAAATTGTTCTTTTCCAATTAACAGGTTTCTCGAAATCCGTGGACACCGCTCACCTGCGCGTGTACGAACACCAGGAAATGAAAACGGCGAAGAACAAGTCAGAAGAAGCGTATCGGCGTTTCCATCTTCTTCGGTCTCTCCTGTTTCCTGCTTTGTCCGTATGAAATTGTATCTGGATCACGTTGAATATTTGCGGTTACCGCGCTGTCCTTGGGGGAGATAATTACAACCTACCGGAAGGCCGATTATTATCGCATTCGAAACGCGTATCGTTTACGTCTGTATGATAGTTATTCGGTTAATTCGAGCAACGTACCCATTTGCACGCGCGTGATCGGTTCGTTTCCATCCCTATTTCCACCGGTCTCTCAGATCCGGTGTATCCTCACTTCCTTTATCCTCGCTGTATCCGGCTGAGCGCGTGTGCGGTCGTCGCGTCGATTACATCCGAATCGAAGGCGACGTTTCGTTGCGATTACGTCGCAGAAACATCAGCGGGGCGGTTTTTCGTCGATGGGTCTTACCGATACGGGCCTGTTCGCCCCCTGAGTGCTGTAACATGTTACATACGAATAATTGGATGGGAAGTGGATGACCATCGCGATTCAATACAAGCCTTTAAAGTTCGGTTCTCGTTGCCGGACGAAACCTGTTCGGGCAATTCAATAGTCTACGATAATAAACGTAAAGATAAACGGACAGTGTATTTCAAAGAGAGCTATTCGTTACCCAGCAATCTAATGTCGTTTAGCGTTACGTTAATTTCTAGTTGAACCAGTGCTCTATAACTTTTTCATACGACCGGGGAAAAACATTATAATGAGAGTTACAAGGTCCCGAGTAATCTGCGTGCAACGCAACGTCTCGTTGTTAATTACACCTACCCAGCGTAGGACTCGCGATTTATGAATGATTCGGTAGAGTGAATGAACGTTGCCGGCGCATGCGCGTCAGCGATCAGATTCCATTCCCATTCTGATCCCGCTTCTATTCCGACTGCTTTATCCTTTTGTCGCTCGCTCTCCCTCTCTCTCTTTCTCTCTCGCTCTCTCTTTTTCTTTCTCTCTCTCTCTCACTCGCTCTTCTCTCTTTTCCTCTCATCTTGAACCGCTCACAACACTTCTAGAATTCGTAAAAAGATTTCTCGCCGGTGTAGAACCCTTGTCGAGCCTACAAGCAGACGGTAGAACGTTAAAACGGTAGCAGCAGACAAAATACTGTTTTCATAAGCGAGACGAATGGTAACTTTACAATCGATGATTAATGGCATCATGAATAATGGCGTTCTAAAAAAAAAATGCCGCGTTTAATATTCAGAAGCACTATCGTCTTTTGACCGCCAGCTAAGAATTTTAAATGGGGAGAACGGTGTTCGACAAATTGCAACAAGCTATGGCATTCGCGCTATGAATTTCAAATTTTTTCTTCGTTGCGCGGATGTTGGAAGTTAACGCGCATACCACGGAACGATTTATTTTCTCGGAGCTGCGAAATATAATATTGAGGCTGTACAAACAATTTTATTACGGTATTTTCAGCATAATTTCCACGTCGCGTAACGATTTACTAACATTATTACATTCCTCCGATAAAGTGCTTCTAAACGTTGGCAAATATTTTATTCGATTGTACACGAATAAAACGACATTATTATTATCGTTACGCTGACGACGACTTCCATTTTTGTAAACGTCATTCAACGAATAATTCGAGAATTGGACCGTTGGACTGGCAGAAAATTCGTACAGCGGAAAGACATTCTCGTTAATTAAGCTAATACAAGACGCGATATGTACCAATTACATTTTAATAGGGAGGGGGTCATGGCGAAGAACACACCGTAACATAACTGTTCATTAAGGAACCCGTCGCCCACGTTAATTGGTAAGTTACCATCGAAATTGTTAATACGAGTATAAAGTAACCTTGGTCGTGTCAAGGCATTCTAATTAGTTCGAGTCTCACGATAATTAAACAGAGAATGTTTGGGAACGATCGTGGCGGTAGCACGATTTAGAGCATCCTGTATAGAACAAGAACGAGAACAGATTCGATTATTGAACAATCCGTCTTTCGATGAATCATTCTTCAAACGAACAATATCGTGCAACCGATTATGCAAGAATACAGCGGACGGACGTAACGCGCGGCGACGACGATGACGGTTCTAAAAAGAAAAACGTAATTGAGTGTTCTCAAGGTCGTTTACAGGAAACAATCGCAGCAGCCTGAACTTTTCCGGCAGCTTATTTTTCCCATTCGCTCTGTTTACATGTTTTGTGCTCGAGGCAGACGTCGTAACAGCACTTCTCCCCTTTATCGCAATCCGCGTCCGCGTCGCAAGAAATTGGCGGCATGTACCAGTCGTGAGTACGCGGACAATGGGTTCTCAACGGCGGGCAATGTTTCTCGGTTTCTCTCTCCGTTACGGACATTTCCGGCCAACGCGAGTGAAATAGTGAGAGTTCAGCGGTGGCTGCAGTGATCCAGAGCCACGAGTCGAAAATGGCACGCCAGTCGTGCCCGGTCCACTCGTCGTGTTCCCCCGAGGGACAACAATAGTATTGATGATGGCTCGTCCGACACCAATATCTGCAGGTCTCATCGCCTTTTTTCCGACGTCCCGTCACCGCGTATACGCAACAGATCAGAGCAAGGATCGTGAACAAACGGTGCATCCTGAAACGATTGCGTTCGTTAGTTGTTATACTTTGTGATAATGAGATGTGTTTCTATCTAGGTTCACTGTGTTTCTTTTGTTCTATATCGGTTAGGTTCAACGATTGGTCGATAAAAAAGGCATCAGGTGGTTGTTAGCCGTTCTAAATGGAACATTATTCCTTCCTGTAACCATTATATAGACTGTTGATTTCGCGGATTTAAAATTCATGGGAATACATGAGATACAATATAATAGGAAGATAAAATTTCATGGCTAGTTTGATACTGATTTATGGAAAAAATAAATGTAACGTTACCTTTGTAAGTCGAGTAATTTACAGGCAGAGTTTCGTGTTTGTCCGTTCCCAAACACCTAACGTGTCTGAGACCAGTCCCAGTGTACGGCTGGCTTTATAAGCCAGAGGAAACTATTATTTCCTAAACTTTCGTCGACGGACAATCGTTAATTATCGTATTTCTGTTCGCCGCCGTATGACTTGAGCATTTTACTGGAGAAATTCAATATCCTGAAACGTCAAAGTGTCACTGCCGGTGGTTTGCCGAGAAGAGGAAAACATTTAGGGAATACGAAACAAAACCGCTTTTCCGGAAGATCAGTGTTGCACGTAAGTCACGGTTTCTATTGTAACGCGAACCAAAAATACGTGGTGAAACTTCTGCGTTGCTTTGTTCCTGGAACATTGTTTCCACTTTCGCCGGACCATGTTTTCAGCTGCCTCGCTAAATGTCCTGTATGGTCGATAATTTATTAATAACCGTTCGCGCGACTGAACGTATCGCGATTAAAAAAAAGGATTTGAATTTAAATATACCCGTCTTGCGTGGCTGCGTTCCCGAGCGCATTCGATTCGCACCGAGCGTTCTAAATGGTTTAAATTCGTTTACCGAACCGTTCGAATCAATCGGTGTCAACGTTGCCGATGAAACGCTCGGTATTAAATATCGAATAATTATAAAGAAGATAATACTGCCTATTCAACTTACGACTGGAGCAAGACGGAAGAACAATGGAGATTACCTAGCACTTAGCAGACTTCTCATTGGTCCATTTTCCACCGGGCAAAACTGTATCTACCTGCGTATAATTCATCCGAAGAAGAAACACTTAATTTTTCATTTGTGTAAGAGAAACTGCGTGTGAAACGCTTGCATTCTGAAACGACGCGAATGAAAGCATACAGGTTTCCATAGTTCCCCGAAGAATGAATCGTTACTCGAGGAAAATATAAAATAACGATGCATACGATTGCGAATCTCAAGAAATCTCTTGTTCAATCGAGTGTTGCGTAACATCTCCGGACACGTCACGTGACTTCCTAATAGGAATAGACAATAAAATCAATGAAGACGCGACAGGTTGATATTTGAAACGATGATTACCTTTAACGTAATCGAACGGATAGGCGGACAGGAAATATTTCGTAATTAGAACGAATCGAAGGGAATGATTGGTAATTTACCGAGGCGAGCGTTCGATGAATCAAATCGGCGTTCAAGGGAAACGTCGTTCCGTGATTGGTGGATAGAGAGCGCTATTAAGGTAACGAGTCTTGGGTCCGATTCGCAACGGACATTCCGCGACGGGCTGCGAAATTCTGAAAGGCGGTTCTATAGACGCATGTTCGTTCGATGCATAACGAAGAACAGTCACGGATGGTTACGAGGCGTCCTATCACACGGAGTGTATCTCGGCAACGAGCGAATCAGAAAAATCGCCGTATAGTAGGACAACGTTCTCGCCAGAGAGTCTCCGTGTTGCGCAGCGAGAATAGAATGCGAGCGTATCGTTTCGAGAAGGGCACGTCTCGTCGAAAGATGCGAAGCAGTTAACAGTGGTTTTGACGAGTGTGTGTGTTGCCTTTTGTCAAGGCAAAAGGTTCACTTCTTATCTCCACAGTGGATACGTATATGAGCGCGGATATACGAGCAGCCAGTGCGGTGCACTCGACGCAGTAAAAATCGTTCGTAACAGTGTCCTCGGGAGATATTGTGTCGTGTGTTGCGGGTTGTTACGCCGAAGGTCGTGAACATTCGTGCGATTGTTCGAGAAGCTTGTGTCCCGTACGGAAGACACGTTACGAAAAGATTAAAAGGGAAAGGTGGACGATCCTCCTTGGAAAGCCTCGGTAAAATGGCGGTGATCGGTACTCCGATTGGCGCTAAGCGATAGAAGAGGATTGCGTCCCGTTCACGCTCCCCGAATTTTGTTTTGATCCAGTTGTAGAGATATCTTCGTCGAGACCGGTCAATTCGCGGTCACCCACGGATCATTTTGCTTTCATTCCCTCGCCCCCTCCCTGCTACCCCCGTCCTTGGTTTTAACCATAACTAGGCGAAAATTTCGAACGGCGTCCTATCGAACAATATATATCTATATATATACATATATATATATATATATACACATATATATATATATAACAGTATTTATCCAGTCGAGGACGATCAAGGTGGTAAGGACCACCGACGGAACGGTTTCCAACGGCCGCGATGCCGCATCGTTCCAACCTCCAGTTTGTTGAACGGCCGAACGATAAGGACAACTCTATCAAATCCTCGTCGGCTTATCTGTAGGTGAGCCTTTTTGCCACGAGTGCATCCTCGATTTTCACCTGACCCCTATCTTCGCGTCACAGATTTTTCTTTCGTTTCGTCAGCGCCGACCAACATCTCGGTTCCGATTCGGGCTTTACCTTAAATTCATTACAGATTCTTGCCTCCTTCCTTTGTTGTTATTTTGTCCATCTCGAGCGATGTCTGAGTTAGGTTAGGCTTCTGAAACCGATGACTCTGCATCTTAATCGAGTAACGAGATTGTTTTCATTCTTGTTGCCCTTCTAACTGTTCTCTCTCTTTTTCTCTCTTTCTCTCTCTTTCTCTCACACACTCTCTCTCTCTCTCCGTCTCTCTTCCTTCCCTCCCCCCTCTTTCTCTCGCCCCTCCCCTCGCTCCCGTGTTCTCTCTCTCTTGTTCTCACTCGCTTGCTCACTCTCTCTTTACTCTTTACTCTCTTTCTCTTTCTCTCTCTCTGTCTTTTTCTATACTCTCTAGAAACGTTCGGATAACTCGAGCTTTCTTATACTTTTCATGGAAACACTCCTTATTTATCCTGTTCTTTTTTTCGGTCGAGGTCACCGATGCATTTCCGTACGCAGCCTTTTTAAAATAACTGTCCGCGACGTCGATGATACGTTTCATCGTGCTTTGTCATTTTTAACCTGTACATTATTTATTTGTATACGTCAACTATTTCGCGTATTACTAATTTATCCATCGAAAAATTCGACTGTCCGATGGTACTACAATACCGACACCGATATACATTGTATTTTATTTCATCGCATCACGAGATGAAATACTTGAAATCATTTTCATTTCATGCATTTGATCGCGCTTAAATAGATGTGCATGGACGAGAAATCATTCGGTAAATTGTCGAAAAATAATGTGTCGCAACTAATCGCGCCTGTGATGCAATTCTCTGTTTTAACCAATAAGGATTTCTCACGTTTTCATTGTACACTAAGAAAGAAAAAGTATTTATAGTCTATTATCTTCTATCTTCACTGCACTTTCAGGGGAACTGAAATTTTTGCAAAGTTGATATAAATAATGTTTAACTCGATTATACTAGAAACCTGTGTCATTTCATTGTAATGGTTGTTATTATAATCATTTTCATGTTGAATGAAAAAGAACAAATAGATCCATACAATATTTTGGATTAAATCCGTTTCGTTTATTAACGATTTTTAATTATTTCAGATTTTGAATTTACAAAGTGAAACTCTAATCTGCCAAAATGAAAATTGACAGAAGCAGGTTGAAAAAGTGCATTTCTGAGGCGGTAAGTGATATTTTGTTTATGAATAAGTCCCTAGTTTTGTATTATATAATTATAATGTATAAGAATTATGTTTCGATGTAATGTATCGATAGATTGTATTGAAGTACGTTCTTTTTCATTTTTAGCCGGCAGAATGCCAAGCCCTCATAAACAAGTTGCGTTCGTGTTCCCATGCAGAATTGCTAGAGGAGTTAAAACAGATAGATGCATGGACCTTTGGAAAATGCGAACTGTTCCATTGGATCGACGTATTAGATCTTAATGACAGTATTTTAGAAGAAGCTGCAGCGAGGAGTCCAGATAATCCATGGGAATTAGCCTGTGATCTTCCTCAAAACAGAGAGGTATTATTAATTCTTATAATTTTATATATTTTTCCATAAATATATTTGTATTTTGTGATATATTTATCCTGCATTGTAATTCAATACAGGCTAAAGAACTTCTTCTTTGGATTCTTCACTTCACAACATTACTGATCGAACATTCGTTCTCTCGACATTTGTACAACAGTATGGAGCATCTAGTGTCCTTGTTATCGAGTTGCGATATGCATGTTGTTCTTGGTGTCCTAAATCTACTTTACATGTTTAGTAAACGTAGTAATTTCATTACTCGTTTAAATAGTGACAAAAGGCAAGCTTTAATTAGTAGACTCAATCATCTGGCAGAGGTTAGTATTTTTCAAGAAAAATGTTTAATTAATAATTGCAAAGTATAAACATCCTTTCAATTATCTTCCTGTTTTAGAGTTGGGGTGGTAAAGAGAATGGATTTGGTTTGGCAGAGTGTTGTAAAGAATTTCCTGATAAGGTAATTAAAATTTCACAAGAACATTTTATTCGAGGACTTTATCTTATGCAGTATATAGTAAAATCAATGTTTCGTCTTTAACTTTTCAGCCCCTCCCAGCAAGTGCTACAACATTGCATTTTGAATTCTATGCAGAAAACTCGAATACCGATCCATCAGGTAGCACACAAAATACTGGTGCAAAGAAGCTTGGACAAACAAATTTTGTAACATATATACACATTGAGAATGTGGATAAACTTGGTAAAACACCGGCACAAATAATGAATGATTTGTTGAAGGTTTATAATGTACCTCAAGATCGACAGGTAAATATGCAAAAATGAATTAATAAATATCAATATAAAAGATTGTAAAGTGTAAAGTGTAAACGAGAATCTGAATTTGTGTTTTAGATGGCGCTCTTCACACACATAAGACTGGCACACAGTTTTTCCGATTATCGAAGACGTTTACAATGTGTACAAGCTCGGTTGCAAGCATTGTCGGTACTTGTATATAGTAATGCACTTCAAGAAAACGCAGATAGTTTGCTTCATGCTGGTCTTTTAGAAGAATTAGTCGAATTAATGGAACTTCCACATGCACATCTTGTTGAAATGCGTGCAGCAGCATTGCGGACTCTCACTAGTATCATTCATTTGGATCGTAATCCACATTTTCCCAAGTATGTCAAGATTTAATACCACAGAGATTCATAACTTCCCAAGGCGTGACACGCCGTGACAAATTACTAATAATAATCTTTTTAGGAAACCCGGTTCGAGGCTAAATATGATAATTGACGTCACTGGAGCAAGTTCGTATCACGGATTTTTCCCTGTATCGATTCGCACATGTATTTCACAGTTAACTTCGCCACCACCGGATGGACCACCCTTTCCGTTGCAACTGGCAACAGCATTATTTAGTTTTCTTTATCATTTAGCCAGTTATGAGGCTGGAGGTGAAGCTCTTATAAGTTGTGGAATGATGGAAAGCTTGTTAAAAATTATGAACTGGCCGGGAACCGAGTTGGAACATATAACGGTGAGATCTCTCTTTGATCTTGTTAAGAACTTAAACAAATTTGTTTCTTTTAAGAAGAACCGACTGACACAGAATCGATGTTTATTTCAGTTTGGTACTAGGGCAGTTCGTGTAATAGATTTGATGACTAATATAGATATGCAAGCATTCCAAGCACACAATGGCCTAGCAAGTTTTATCAACCGCATTGATATGGAAGTGAACGTATGCAGAAAGGAGCAACCGTTTGAGATAGAACCGTACGCGTATCCAGATAATTCGCAATCGTCTCGTGAAAGATCCATAGAACGGGACGAGGAATCCACGTCATCGCGACGATTGAACGAACCGTTCGACGAACGCGAGGAATCGTCGAATCCAATGGAATTCTCTGAAGATGAGAATATGACCTCAAAGCCAGAAGACAAGAATGAACAAATGCCAGATTACTCTGCCATGAAGAATGGAAGAACGTGTCTGCCGCAACGAGCCGCGCTGTTGAAATCAATGTTAAATTTTGTAAAAAAGACCATTCAAGATCCAGCATTTTCCGATAGCATTAGACACGTCATGGAGGGGACCTTACCTTCGTCCCTGAAGCACATTATCAGTAATTCCGAGTATTACGGCCCTTCGCTGTTTCTGCTTGCTACGGATGTCGTGACAGTGTACGTTTTCCAAGAACCGTCGTTACTGTCTTCCTTGCACGATAACGGACTGACTGATATTGTACTACATGCTCTACTTATCAAAGAAGTAAGCGAATAGGAAATAATCGAAACCGTGATCATAGTAACATTAGGTAACGCATGACTATTAATTGTACATAGGTTCCTGCAACTAGAGAAGTTCTAGGCTCATTACCCAACGTGTTCAGTGCTCTGTGTTTAAATCAACGTGGATTGGAATCGTTTGTAAGACGACGACCCTTCGGGCGGTTGTTTAAAGTCTTATTGTCACCGCTCTACCTTTCTGCGATGAGAAGACGCCGAAGCGCTGATCCTTTAGGTGATACAGCGACGAATTTGGGCAACGCGATGGACGAATTGATGAGACACCAACCGGGTTTAAAAGTTGATGCAATCGCTGCCATTATAAAAGTACGATTCCTTTCAAATATGAATAATTTCATTATTGAGAATAGTATTTATAATAGAGTACTTATAACTTGTTCTAGCTGTTAGAAAAACTTTGTGTCTTGGGCTGTGATCCCCGGTACGTCTGTTTACGAGCTGCTAGCAAGTCCGACAATTCACCGTCGAATTCAGCTTCCGGAATCCGTCAGTCCTCTGGACAGTCCGTTGGAGTCGGGGTCGGTGACTCTCGTCCCGGAGGAGGCGGCGGAGGCGGAAGCAGTAGCGACGAGGAAGAGGAAGATGAAGAGGAAGCCAGTACAAGTTCCCATCCTCAACGCGAGGAACAACCGTCACCGTCGCCAGCTCAACCTGGTCCACCACCACAGCCTAGGGAGAAAACACCAATAGCTTTAGTGGAATACATACACAACGTTATGAAATTCGTTGACGCTATTCTTAGTAACAATTCCACAGACGATCATTGTAGAGAATTCGTCGCCCAGAAAGGTCTAGTGCCGTTACTATCCATCTTGGGATTACCTAATCTTCCAGTGGACTATCCAGTCGCTCAGGCTGCTCAGTCTGTGGCAACAGTTTGTAAAAGTATCTTGGTATGTATCCAACGATAGAGGCTATTAATATTGAACAAATATCGTATAGATTCTACAGTTTGTTTCTTTTCCTTGTTTTTTTTTTAGAACCTTGCGCACGAACCGTTAGTCTTGAAAACCGGACTGTCACAATTGAACGAAGTACTAAATTTATTGAAACCACTCCACAATCACACGGATACACCAGGAGGTTCTGTTTTGTTACACGAACTTGCATCCGCTCCAAATTTAGAGACCGCTTTCACGAGCGACACAGCAACACCTTTGCTCCATGCTATGAACGCCGCGCATGGATACGTAGTAATGTTTGTCCACGTGTGTCGCACCAGCCAGAGCGAAGTCAGAAATTTGTCTATGAATCACTGGGGATCGGGACTCGGTTTAACAGTCCTGAAAGGTCTCTCCGAGTTGTATATGTCGTTGGTTTGGGAGAGCACACTATTGTTAGCATTGTGCAGTGAGGACAGTATACCAGCTGGATGTGACTTTGGAAAAGAAGATATGGATAAATTGGTGCCACCCGAGTTAAAGGTACGCTATTCATTTATCGTTTACGTACAAAGGTGGTGGAAGGGTTAATGTAGTCTCTACACACTGAATTTTCAATCGTTCTATTCGACACTCTTTTTTTTAGAAAGATTAACAAGATTTTGTTTCTCTTTCGATGTACTTAGATAGTACTAAGTTTTAGTTTGTAATAAACTTGGAACGATTTATGACGTATTGTTTCAAATTAATGAACTAGAATGATGGCGAAACTTCTGGCTGGTCAGGTGGTGTATCCTCAGATATGGGAAGTAATGGAATGACCACAGCCATGGAAGCCTTGAGTACAGATCCACCACCTGTACCCATGGAGGTACAGAAATTATAAATTTTAACAATTAGCCATATATTATAGGACAAAGTAGGGAAACGTGCTTAAAAGTAGATAGTGTGTAATCTTAATTAGTGTGTAGTCCTGATCTGTCACCTTAGTTTATTCATTTTTAAATTTTGATTGTTTGTAGGTGGACGATAAACCAAGCGCTAGTGCAGGAAGAGTATCTCCAAATTCATACCAGCTTAAGTACATCAAACCTTTGTTAGGAGCTTCATCTAGATTGGGCAGGGCATTGGCTGAATTGTTTGGTTTACTTGTCAAGGTATTTAACATGCTTAATCACTTGAACATTTTAAACATTCATCGTTGAAATCTTTTGAAATTGCTTTTACATTTTTCATTTTCGTTATTTAAATCTGTTCAGCTTTGCATGGGTTCTCCTGCAAGACAACGTCGAGGACAACAGATGCCGTTAACCCCAGTTCTTCCTTCGCAAGCAGCTGGAAGCGTGGCAACTGCCTTAAATTGTTTATTGATCCGTGGATTGACGTGGGATATATTACCACCATCACCGATACCCAAGTTTAAATTGACCTTCTTGATATGCTCTGTAGGTTTTACATCTCCGATGCTGTTCGACGAAAAGAGGCATCCCTATCATTTAATGCTTCAAAGATTTGTTAGACAAGGCGGACAATACGCATTTTTTCAGTAAGTTTAAAAATAAGAATACAACAATTCAAGTAATCGTTTCATAGTTTTATATTCGAAAACGAATAATTATATTTTAACTCATTTTCAGTACTTTTCATTGGGCATTATCTGGTGGTGGACAGTTTCCTGCATCAGAAGGACTGGAACACCCTAATTTGCCTGACGGCACTGGGGAATTTTTAGATGCATGGCTTATGCTTTTAGAAAAAATGGTGAATCCAAAAGCAATTTTGGATTCCCCTCATCTTGTTTCTTCGAAATATACTGGATTATACAAAATGTATGAATTCGATCCGATAAAATACCTCACAAATATTCACAAGGTCTGAAGAAATGTATATTCTTTTAAACGTACAATTGAATAGACCTTACAGTGTACTTATGCATTCTGTAATTCCTATTGCAGAAAGCCTTTCAGGCGGTGATGCTTATGTGGGGCAAGAAACCTTTAAAAAATTATGGTGCCCGTATGACAGAATCAATTTTATCTATTTTACGACATATTCTAAGGGGTGAGAGAATTATCAAGGTATGCATATACATATAATTTAACGGGATTAAGACGAAGGCATCTAATAAATTTAAATCGTTACAGGAACGCACAGAAAAAGAAGAAAATAGTGAAGGAGCTATTACTGGTAGCACAAGTGGTACCAGTGGCATTGGTAGAGCTGGAGCAATGTCTGACCGTAGAGAAGAACCGGAATCGGATGTAAATCAAGAACATCTTAGACAGCTAATGGATATGGGATTCAGCAGAGCTCATTGTATCGAAGCTTTGAGTCATACGTTGACTGTTGAACAAGCTACAGATTACCTTTTAACTAATCCTGCCACATTACGAAGATCGGTAAGTAAAAAAAAGAAGAAAGTTATGATAATTTTTCGAACGTATCAATGTTCACCGTTCCGTGATAAATGATTTTTTATGAAATTCATGAATTACTTTATAATTTTAATTTACTTAGGATGTACCACCTGGCGATGCTAATGGCCAAGGTCTTATGATGGACCTGGAAATAGACGACGATCAAATAATGCATGCCATAGCTATGTCGTTGGGAGAAACGGAAACGCGGAAAGCTTCTGGTTTAGAAAAGTTCCCAGAAGAGCTTATTTGCGAGCCTACTATAACGAGCAGTATAGATGAATTTACAAGCACTGCTTTAAGTCAGTGTTTGAATTTGTTGGATCTGATGCCTGACACAGTCTACAGAATATGCGACTTGTTAGCTACCATTACAAAAAGAAATGGAGATGAATGGCGGGATAACATGTTGCTGCAACTTATAAAAGAGGTAATATTGTGAGCAAGTATACGCAACCTTCATGCAATACTGTGAACGTATACTGTAACAGTATAATTTCTGTTGCAGATTGGTAGTTTAGTAGATTATTTAATCGACATTGCTAAAAGTAACGATCCAAATGCTGGTACACGGCTAGTGGAGTGCGAAGAAGCTAACAAAGTTGCTGGACGTATTTATCTTTATACCTTATTCTTCGAGGTACAATATATACATTATATAAAATATTACGATAATCAATTTAGGTTGTTTACGTGGTTGCATATCGTAACAATATTTCGTTCTTTCCAGGGAACGTTCCAAGAGATGCGAGTACCCTGCGCCCAAATCGTAAAAGAATGCGGTGTCTCTGATTTACTCGTACGATTATTGGTAGTAAGCGAAGGGCCACTCACAGCAAATAAAAATAAAGTTTCCAAAGACAATAAGGATGGAACGACAGTTTCTACTAAAACCCCGAAATGGCTCGCACCTTTGCTACTTTTAATAGATCGTTTGGAAAGAGTAGCTATATCGACGCAAAGAAAATTATTAATGCACAAGGTACACAGAATCTATTTGTTGTATCTATACGTGTACATGTAGGTGGAAAGAAAGAGAATCAAATACATGTGTCATTTTTATTTTGAATAGGTAACTCGTAAAGTCTGGAAATGGTTCGACTTGAATACAGGAGAATGGACCATATACTCTCCAATAAATAATCGAATAATCAATGATGCTTATTGGGCCGGTGAATCCAATGTGAGAATCACGTGTAGTAGGCGAAGATATTTGATCAATTTCTCGACCATGACACAAGTTAACGAAGAAAGTGACAACAGAAGACCGATAGCCATGAATTTCAAATTGCGTCCAGTTATTGATTACGGTCCGATTACGGTAGAGGAGAAAAGGAACACTTTCGTGCAAGGTCTACATCCTAGCGTAATCCCAAGCATCATACGCACGTGTGTGAAGCTATTAACAATTCCGGTAGACCGGGACGCGTTACATGCTTTAATGAAGGTCTGTTTGCGATTGACAAGAGATTACGAGAATGCTGCGATCTTTGCGCGCGAAGGCGGCGTGAAACTTTTATTGGAAATGACTCAGGCTAGCAGTTTCATCGGCAGCATAAATTTGAGTACATTGTTGATCCGACACACTTTGGAGGAACCGGCTATTCTTCGCCAGGCTATGGAGAAGGTTATACGGACTCGTACCCAGGGTAATATACCACCACCATACAAAGAGATCCTATTTATGACACGTCAAATCAGCAGCGCAGTTTGCCGTAATCCGGAAGTCTACAGAGAGATCTGTGAAAATATTCTGAGAGTAGACATCAGTCTACTGAGAAGGGATTTTGATTATAGATTAATCGTGAAAGCTCTCCCACCGAGTCAGTCGCAGAACTCATCAGTGGAAGAAGTATCGGAAGTATCGGTGTCCGTGGTGCAAGATCTGCTAAACGCTCTGATAAAACCTATGCCGATTCTACCTGATGATAACACAGCAACACCTACTGGAAGCCCCGAGAAGAAAACTACTCATTCGAGTTCCACTGTAGGAACAACATCCTCCAGACGAGGAGACGTGCTTCGAAACAACGCGACAACAACGAATGATCCTCTAGACGACGACGATCAGGTCTCCCAGATAATTTCATTGAAAATCTATCCGGATATTGGCAACAACGGCAAGGTTGAACCAGAAGAAGCGAAGAAACCTCTGCTGGCAAAATCAGCCATTCTGAAAATACTCGCAGAAGCTGTTCGTTCTTACAATGGAATCGCCGACTTGATCACAGAGCACGTTTACCTTGCTGGGCAAAGCGAGATGGTGACAGAGGATACAACAGCGCTCGCTTTTCTTTTGGACAAGCTGCTGCCGATATTGCCAGAGAACTCGAGCGACAGACAGTGCAGCAATATGGCCAGAATTTTAATAGCCGCTATTGCCTCTTGTAATCATTCTCCGGATGTTCAGACGACCTTAGTTACCGAGGTGAAAGCTGCACTGACCAGGACTTTGGCGCTTCCTGAAAGCTCTGAGAAGCACGCGCAGCTCCAGCTGCTGATCGCTGTGATTTCTACCATGATCGACAGTTGCCCTCCGACCCTGCATAATCAGTTGCGGGCTTCCTTGAAAATACATCCGTACAATAATGTGAATTATATCGTGAGGATCATGCTGAGAAAGGGAATAATCACTGACTTAGCAAAAATTCCGCACAGTCTTGATCTGTCCAGTCCAAACATGGCTGGTACCATTAATGCTGCCTTGAAACCACTCGAGACGCTTTCCAGGATCATAAACCAACCGATGCCGGGAGCGGTAAACAATAAGTTTTCGAAGCCTAAAAACAGAACGATTCAAGAAGAGCCGATCGGAGAACAGACAGGCACCACAACGTCGGAGGCGACTCACGCGGTTGGAGAAGAAGCAAACGAAGACGCTGAGAACACTGAGCACGATATATCAGTTACCGCTGAGAGCCTCGAGCCTACCTCGGAGAGTCAAGTGCACGAGGAGGGCGATGAAGCTGCACTGGACGACATTATGGATCAGCTGCTTGATAGGTAACCATATGCAAATGATGTTAGTTTAGAATTACGTGTAATCGTAATGCCTCTTAGCTGATCAAACTGATTTAATATCATTACTTTGAATACGTATAAGCTACTGTACTTATAATCAAGTAGTGTATTGTTTTCTAGGGAAGGCTCAGCCGTGGCGGAAGAACAATCTTCCCGGCCACATCGGCCAATGGATATCGACGACGAAGGTCTCGTGATACGTGACACCGAAGCTGATTTCGACCCGACGCGAGACACCACAGTAAGAGTAACATCGCTTTTTTCAACTCCGAACAATGTAGCTTCGAAAGCACCTTATTGTTTTCTTGCTAAAGAATATCAAACTACGTTTGATATTTATGTTGATGATATTAAAATATTTATATTATAAGATAAGGTGGTTTTGACATTTTAGGATTCACACTTTTTCTACCTTTCTCTTTTACATTCGATACAACGTTGTATTTTCTAGGAGGATTTGATGAGTTCCGATTCAGATGCTGATAGCAATCCTTCCGATGACAATGAGGATGAGGTACAAGACGATGAAGATGAGGAAGAAGAGGAAGAAGACGACGGTAAATTTTGTTAAAATTTGTTACCTTTCATTTATTAATATTACAATGGGATAGAATACATTTGAATTATTGTACCAGGAGAGGAGAATGAAGAAGAAGAAGAGGAAGAAGAAGAGGGCTCCTCAAACTATGAAGAGGATGGAATAGAATTTTATGAAGATGTTGAAGGTGACGGTGTCTTCAGAATGTTCCCATCAACGGAACGTGACGGAAGCAACGTTGTAATAATTCAACACAACATCGATAATCAGGACAATTTGAGTACTTCTACTCCTGTTACACCGCGTTCCAGTCTTCCATGGGCTACGACATTCCCTCTACCTTTAGGGCTCTTCGAAGATTCGCCTTCAGTTTCCGAAAGCAATGGTACTTCGGAATATACTTATACTTGGTATAGAAAATTCGTATACGTTGTTAACGGTTAAGTACTTATGCCTGATTTTATTTAGGTATGAATTCCCACCCATTGTTAATACCACAGAGCGGTTTGGATGGTGCTCATACAAGAGTTCAGAGAGCTCTGCGACAACGAAGGTATCAGTTTCTTCAAATACAAAATCCACGAAATCCGAATCCGCCAGTAATATTACAAAGGTGAATTAACTCGACATTAAATATATTTAATAAAGTCTGAAATTAGAAAAATTAAAACACGATTTAAATGAAAGAATTTTGTACGTAAAGTGACTGCTCGGATACAAAAATTTGTTACATATATTGTATACTTTTCTTTTTAATAATTCTGCTTTTAGTAATTTTGTAGTCATGTATACTCGTATATTGAAGTGATCAAATTTACAAGTCTCTTGTATCCCAAGTATAACGTCGATTGAACTTATGTATATATATAATGCGATTCATTTCAGTAATATAATTTACAGTCAACTTTCTTACCGGTATATTTATCATTATAGGTTGTTGGGCCCAGCTGCGCAAGGAATTCCCTTATCTGCCAGTCAAGTTGGAACCTCCAGGATCTTTACCAATCAAGAAGAATCTACCGGTCATATTGTAGTCTCCAGAATTTATACGAATCAAGAGGAAGAACAAATAGACTTTGTGGTTAGTAACGAAGTTCGATGGTACATTAGAAATTATTCGATTCATGTTTCTTAGCATGCGATTATGAGTTTTCGACATAAGCATAATTCTATTTCTATAAACGCCGACAGTTTTATGATGTATGTACGCGATACTTTTAGGATCAATCCGGCTATCTTTTTGGACCAAGTCTAGCAGCCACATTGAATAACATTCCGACAGCGTTACACTGGTGGATCGAGGAGAGTAAATTATTAGATGGTGACTCTCAGGCAGATTGCTGCGATGGTACCTAATCAAATATTATATAAACATTTCCATAGCACCGCAGAATTACTAATACCTTTAAATTTGATATTAAAGGTGTTGTATTCAAACTAACCCATAACCTGACGAAACATAGAGACGATGAGCTCGCAGAACGAAAAGAAAGACGTAAGAAGCAACTGAATTCTGAGAAGAAAGGTGAAAAAGATGGTAAAGATGAGAAAGATCATCTGAATAATACGGAATGTATGTTGAATACTTCCACTTCAATTCCGAGTATGCTCGTCGTAAACTGAATTCTCATCGTATGACAATAATTGTTTCAGCGACTTCTTCCACTGTGATACCCATAGAAGAGCAAATCTCAACAGCGTCAACGTCTCAAAGAGAAGACGCGAACAACCTCGTCGCCGACTTCGGAACCCCAATCGAAACGACTCGACAGGAACGTACTCCTGACGAGGATATAATCGATGTGACCGGTGAAATGGAAGTAACGGTGCAGGAAGACGAGGAACGACCTCCACCGCCACCTTTGCACGAGGAAGTGGTGTCGTCGGAAGCCAGAGATCCTCGAATAACCAACAGAAACTCGACACTGGAACTAGCGCAGAGTATCGTCGACTCGGTACTTCGTCCTAGCGCATCCGAAGCCAGCCGACTGAGACAATCGGACCGACCTGCCGAAACATCGAATCCCAACGAAACGTCTAGTCGAACGAACACAACCATACTAGTTGATTTTAGTCAAGAAGGTAACGAAGATTTGTTAAGGGAAAGTGACTCGGCCGACTGGATGAGAACGTTTTTAACCGACGACGGTCAGTCGAACATTGAACGAAACGCGAACGTACTCAATCAAGATCCCACCACTTCGGCATCAGAGAACATAAGTCCAGAACAATCGGAGCAGCAACAACCGCAACAACAACAGCAACAACACCCGCAGCAGCCGCAACAACAGCAACAACAACAACAACCAGAACAACCTCAGCAATCGCAACAACAGACCCAACAACAATCGCAACAACAACCTCAGGAGCAACAGTTACCCGACGGAGTGGATCCTTCTTTCTTGGCCGCTTTGCCAGAAGACATGCGCGACGAAGTCATAGCCGAACAGCTCAGACTTCAACGAATCCGACAACGAGCTCAAGCGACCGTGGTCGCAGAATTAACCGGACCGGTCGAGGTTAATCCTGAATTTTTGGCTGCCTTGCCACCGGCAATTCAGGAAGAAGTTCTGGCACAACAACGCTTGGAACAACAACGACACGCAGCTGCCTCTGCTAATCCTGACGATCCAGTCGACGCAGCTGCCTTCTTCCAGAACTTGCAACCTTCTCTGAGACAGGCGATTCTGACCGACATGGAGGAATCCCAGATATCTGTTCTGCCACCGGATCTGGCTCAAGAAGCTCAGAATCTTAGGAGAGAATGGGAAGCCCGAAACCGACATTTGATGCAGGAAAGATTTCTTAGTCACGTTAGCCAAGGGAGCGCTACTTTATCCACTATATTAAGGCATTCTAGTAGAGGTAATTAACTGCTTACCGAATCGGTGCGATATTTCCATGTAAATGCGCTGCACCGATTTCTAATAACACAATTGAACATTATCGCTAACAGGTAGAGCTACGCGTTTCGCGATTCAAGCGGTGACGCAAAGAGGACAATGGGGAGATCCGTTGATGCGCGGTGATACTAGTATAACGCACCAGGGAGCGGGTCTTCGACTTAAAGGCAGACAATTGTTGGATCATGAATCGATGGCATGCTTATTAATATTACTGTTTGTTAATGAACCAAAAATTAATACGTTAAGATTTCATAGAGTTATCAAGAATATTTGCTATCATGGTAGCACAAGAGAATGGGTAGTTAAAGTCTTGCTAAGCATCATGGAAAGAAGTAACGATGAGAATAAAGATATTGCTGCGGATTTCGGCGGCAAATATAAAAGGAAAAGTTTGATGCCCTCGATGGACTACTGGTAAATATTAAATTACATATTAATTTGTGAACCGCGGTACCGTGGCGTTGCGTCAGTATTTCAACTGTTGCCTGTATTTTAGTTCTCCCAAGGTTTTAGACCAAAGAAACAATTCGCAGTCGTGGTTGAATATCAGCATAGATGCTGCACTTGGTTGCAGAGCGAATGTTTTCCATATAGTTAGACACGGTGGAAAGAAGTCGGAAAGACAAGGAAGCAGTATCGCCATTCATCCGCAAGCTGCACCGACAGTATGCAAGTAAGTTACTAAAATGTTCATTCAATACAAACAATATGCGTGCTACGTAAAATTATAATCGTTTATGGTTTCCGCAGACATACGTTAGACTTACTGATAGCATTGGCTAAAGGGTTCCCTGGATATTTCGTGCCAGTGAAGCCTAAAGAATCAGAGGAAAAGGAGGCTAACAAAGAGAAAGATTCAAATAATAAAGAAGAGGCTTGCTCGAAAGGCAAATCCACCTCGAAACCAGGGAAAAGCGACCAACCAGATTTCTGGGACATGTTACTGAAACTAGATTCGTGTGCCTCGAAGAAAGGAAAGTCGGTCGCCAGGACGCATTCTAATTCGTATCTAGGAAACGAACCGGAACACAGTACGACCACTTTTGAGGCTTCAGCTTTCGGTCAATTAATTTCCATGCTGAATTGGTCGGTCATCAAGCGTAGTAGTCAGTTAACAGATAAACTGCTAAGACTGTTATCACTGATCTCTATCGGCCTGACGGAGGTGAGCCCGTTCCACAGACAAGAAGGAAACAAAAATAAAAAGTCGGAAGTGAACAAAGAGCAGGGTGTCGCTGCGCCTGAAGAACATCTTAAGTTAGCTGTACAAGTACTAACCAGTAAAAGTTGTTCCGAGGAGGGACTGGAAGATGCGACTGCTTTACTACTTAATTTGTCTCATTGTCCAGACCCTACTAGACAACTGGTACGATCATTATGAAATCTTGCATTCCTTTTGAAAATATCAAAAATACGTGTTATACTATTTTATATTTTAATTCAGATATTAAAATTACTGATGGAGGGCGCTATGGAACTTGCTAACATGGTTTGCGAACATATAAAGGATTTAATGATGGAACTCAAGGTTTTAAATCGTGAATTGAGACGGAATTCTATTGAAGAGCAACCTTCAACTAGCACTGGAGGTTCTCGAGGAATTCTTTTGGACAGGTACGTGTTGCATTTGAAAGTACTATGTATAATTTTTTAAGACTTGTTGACCGAATTGTCATGATTCGATATATAGATTTACGAATGAAAGTGTGGTTGTTACTGCACCTAGCAAAGTCAAAGCTGGTAGTGACCTTCAGCTGCCATCGATGGCTGCCCTTGTTAGCAAAACCTCTAGTCAGGCATTTTTCTTGAGAATACTTAAAGTGATCGTACAAATAAGAGAGGCTGTACGTTTAGCAAACAGCAAGAAGACAGGTACGTTTGAAAAATAGATCCTGCTAACTGACCGCCTAGATAATATTATTAAATAAGAAGTAATAAAATATTAGGAAATATATTTTCAATATTTTCTTCGTAGCTAATCAAACTACGGAAGGTAGTGGTGAGACTGCAAACACGAATCAAACACCAGGCGAAGGTAATTAACTGAAGCACATTTATACTAAATACAAACTTTTTGCATATTTATAATCCAATATCGAAACTGAGTATAAGATTGCATATATTTCTAAAAGGTGATGGTAATACCGATGGTGATGTGGCTATGGACACAACGCAAACGAATTCATCTCAGCCTGAGAATTCGAAGCCAACTGTTGCATCTGATGGTAAATAATTTTAAAGAGAAAAACCAGCATAGAATGAATAGATTTTTGGATGGTGCACTCCATGTTGACAAAATGTTTCACTTGTTTTCTACAGGTGAGGAAAAGCTTCCGCTGTTAAGCGAATGTCTAGTATTGGATCATTTATGGGAGACACTCAGCGCCTGCTTGTTAGAATTGGAATATACTCCAGATCATCATGCCGTCTTAGTTTTACAGGTAGTGTCCCGATTCTAACCAGCGATTAAACATTAATTTGAGAACTCGATTAAAAAATTCATATTTACAGCCCGCTGTGGAGGCCTTTTTCCTGATTCACTCGTCGTCGAGTGCCTCTCGGGAACGTCAATTGAACACAAATGCAGAAACTAGAGAAGTTGTTCCAGACCTTGCACCAGTGTCGCCAATATATTCGGATAACGAAGGCACATCCCAATCAGAAGCAGCGATTAACACTTCATGGGACATGGCTCCTCCTCCTCAAAAGACACTGCCACCAGACCAAGTCAAGTTCCTCAAGTTTGCTGGTACACATACGTTTGTCTTTGTTTTCTCGTTGAACATTACCAGTTAATTGAATCAGATACTTGAACGGATGATTTTTTCCCCGTAGAAACGCACAGAACTGTTCTAAATCAAATCCTACGTCAAACCACCACGCATTTGGCGGATGGGCCTTTTTCTGTATTAGTGGATCACACGAGAGTTCTCGATTTCGACGTGAAGAGACGGTACTTCCGAGCTGAGTTGGAACGAATGGACGAAGGTATTCGTAGGGAAGAACTGGCTGTGCACGTGCGCAGAAGTCACGTTTTCGAAGACTCGTTCCGAGAACTTCACAGGCGAAACGCTGACGAGTGGAAGAATCGGTTTTACATCGTTTTCGAAGGTATAAAAATACCTCACGGTTCCGTAATATTTTCATTCGTTCGTCGAAGTATTTCCCATTTACGTTTGTACTATGAAATTGTAGGAGAAGAAGGCCAGGATGCCGGAGGACTTCTTAGAGAGTGGTATGTCATCATTTCTAGAGAAATATTCAATCCTATGTACGCACTGTTCACTGTAAGTCCTGGTGACCGAGTAACATACATGATCAACTCTTCTTCGCATTGTAATCCTAACCACTTGTGTTACTACAAATTCGTCGGCCGAGTCATTGGTAAGTTGCTTCATGCTTTTCCATATAGTAACATTGTCATAAAATTTATAATAATGGAAAGAAGGTTTTCACGCGTACGGCGAATACGATAAGGTAACGATAGTAAAAGGATTTTTATTTTTACAGCCAAAGCAATTTATGACAACAAGCTCCTAGAATGTTATTTCACGCGCAGCTTTTATAAGCACATCTTGGGAATATTAGTAAAGCACACGGACATGGAAAGCGAAGATTACAGTTTCTACAAAGGATTGGTATACCTTACAGAACACAATATCGCCGATCTTGGATATGAATTGACTTTCTCTACAGAAGTAAGTTTCATTTGTACATGTTCAATAAAAACAGAATATACCGTGACGAGTGTCGAACAAATCTGTTTACTTGCAATTTCAGGTGAACGAATTCGGTGTAAATGATGTACGTGATTTAATACCAAACGGACGTAACATCGTTGTTACCGAGGAAACGAAGTTAGAATATATTCGGCTTGTTTGTCAGATGAAAATGACTGGAGCAATCCGAAAACAGTAAGTTGGATGAAGTTGTGTCACGTGGTATGTAATGTGTTCTCGTTATTCCTAATGTTTCTTACTTACAGGTTGAACGCGTTCCTAGAAGGTTTTTACGATATTATTCCGAAACGACTGATCTCTATATTCAACGAGCAGGAACTTGAACTACTAATTAGTGGATTACCGAATGTAGACATAGAGGACCTTAAAGCCAATACCGAGTACCACAAATACACTGCAACATCTTTACAAGTATATAGATTGCATTTATCATCGTGAAATATACATTTAGCGGTAAACGTAGAGATTTTAATGTTTTCGCGATTGAAATATTTAGATTCAATGGTTCTGGCGAGCACTGCGAGGTTTCGATCAAGCCGACAGAGCTAAATTTTTACAATTTGTCACCGGAACGTCAAAGGTGCCGTTGCAAGGCTTCGCAGCTCTAGAAGGAATGAACGGCGTGCAAAAGTTCCAAATCCATCGCGAGGACCGATCGAAGGATAGGCTTCCATCAGCTCATACATGGTGAGTTGTCCGTATAAATCGGTTAAGCTAATTCTTTTAATCTTCTAAAGGTCTTTCAAAGATTAGATCTTTTTTATCTAGAGAAAGATGTATGAGCTAATAGTAATCGACGAATAGCACAAAGGATTTTAGTCGCTTTAAAGATAAATTTGT